GACAGTGTGCGAAAGCCGCAGCAGGGCCCTGGGGGCTGACGGGCCGTCCGCTTTGGTGCCTAACAGCCTGGCTTTTTAAATGTCCCTCCTGATATTACTGTGTAGTTGGCATGTGTCTTCAGAACTTTTTTCCTTTCTTTTTTTTTTTAAACTATGTAAATAGCTAACCCGCCTTTGAGTCTGTTCTTTGAATCTGGGCTTTCATAGAAGCTCAGTCATAGCAGATCCGAGAGGATCAGACTTACGGCAGAGGGGAGGAGGAAAGGCACAGTCTGTCCTTAGGGCTGTGTGTGCCCTTGTTTCCTCAAGTGCAGCCACACTGCTTGTGTAAGAGGTGGGTCCCGAGTAGCACTGATAACAACCGGTGGAGCTTGTGCTGGGGCTCTGACCAAGGAAGCTGAGCTCAGCTCTTTTGCTGTCTTGCTGGTTTGTTTGCAGGGTTGGAGGAGGTTGATTGCTAGTCAGGCTGAATTTCTAGTGGGCACGGGGGTGGCTTTCAGCTAAGTGTTTGGGATGACTGGGGAAGGAATGCTACTGGTTTAAGAAGCTGTTACAGTAATGAAGGACCAAATTTATTCCAGAAGCAATAGCTTCTTGAGTTATCTGGTCGTTAGGGAGCCAGACAGAGGCAGCCCGGCTGTTGACTCTCTGACTACTTCAGGGGAGTGGTGCTCTCAGTGGTATGATCAGTTTTGGTGGGAGGCAGGACTTGCGCAGGACTTTCTCAGCGATTCCTTCAGTCCTGGGCCTTGTTCACGCAGAGCCTGCGTACTTGGAAGATGTGCTGCTAAGCAACTGGTTGCTTTTCTTGCAGTGGGGAGAGGAGCCCTTCTGTGGGGCTGAGCCGTGCCTAATTTGAGTTTTACTTCTGATGTTGACTCCTGATGTTCTTACTTCTAGGGTGTTGCTACTGAACATAGGCTAATTCTGTGTTTGATATTAAGACTGTAGTGAACTGCAGGGACTTGGCTGGTGTGCCACGAAAACCAGACATCTGTGCAAATTAACCTAAACTGGGAAGGGGCAGATGACAGCAGAGTCAGAAAAATAATACAACAGCCCCAGAATGTGGATTGCTCTTGGGTCTGAGCATTGCTTGTTAATAAGTCAAGGGAGAAGAAACCACTTGACTTTTGTAATTCTTTGTTGCTTGTAAATATGTGTACAGGGCATGCTAATACAGGGATGGATATGTTTTGATGTAGATTTGTATGTAGATTTACTTCTGAATTAGTAGTACATCCAGAGGAAAAACAGGAAACGGAAACTGCAGAGTAGGTATAGCTGAGACATGAGTAGCAAAAGGAGTAGCAAAACTGGAATTGCAAAAAGAAGGAAAGTCTGTGTGAGCAGCAGCTACCAAGACTTCATAGACACAGGTGGGCCGTCTTCCCTGGCTGGATTCTGTTGAGATTTGTGTAAGGAGGAGTCTCCAGCCCAGAACTTGGGTAAAAACTATATTTTAAAAGCCTGAGGTTTCTCGCCTTTAACAGAACATGCTGTTCTACAGCACATCTCTCTGCTACTGAGAAAGCCAATTCTTATTAGAAAGCAAAGCACATGCTTAGCAAATGTTCAGGTAAACCAGTATAGGTGCAGAAACCATACTTAAACACTTGGAAAAAAGGAAGTAGTTTAGATCCTAGCAGTAAATGCTTCTGATGTCAAATATGATTCTTTAGTTTTTAAATGTTTGACTATGCTTTTTACTTTTTACATCTAGATATATCATTTTTCTTGCCTTATGACTGGCTAATACAGGGCGTGTAATTTACGTCTTGCCATTATGCTTAACTAAAGCAAGCAGAGAACTTAAATTGTGTTGCGTGTTTAATCAAATGCTGTTCTTGAACAACTGTTTCATCCTTACACTGAGAAAGGGTGGACTTTCTTTTCAGTGACAGGTTCTGCTTATAGGTCGCATTTGAGTAGACAGGGAAAAATCTCATGCGGCTGCACTCTGTCAGGAAATAAAATGGATTCCCTTATGCTAAGGCCCTCAATTAGTTTCTTGCATCCTGCCTCTCAGGTCCGGGTCTCTCTTTCTCAGTGTCTGCCTATTGCTAGGCAGTTCGAGGATACTATTTCTCTAAAATGCTCAAAGGTTATCTCATGTGAGACCCTGTACTTTTTTGTTTTGCACTATTGGGAAAGTGGTGGGGGAAGCTCTGTGAAAAGCCTTCTAGAGCTCTCTGAGAGCTAGAGACTGGGTCACAGGAAGAACAAAAATTCCAAGAGCTCTTCTGCTCTGGATCCCTCTTCAGTTAATGTTTCTGTCCTGAAACCTAGAGCCAAAGAATAGAGCTGCCTGCCTGCCTGCCTGCCTGCGAAAAGCATGTGGGCATATCTGGGGAGCCTGGTCTGCCTGTCCAAAGGGTGAGGCAGAGTTTTGGCGAGAGCATTATCCCTTGGACTCTTTTTTCCAGTGTGGCACTGTAAGGATCCTACTGACTGCTTCCTTCTTCCACATGGTGCCACACTGGGATTAATCTCAGAAGTAGGCTTATGGGGAAATCCCTTGCTGCTGTCTGATGCTTGGCACTTACGCCTCAGGTGAAGTGCTGCAAGTTGTCTCTGCAGTCAAGTTGTGATCCTTCTTGTAGTGAGGAAACTTAGCATCTTGCTGCCCCTATGACAGTACTGTCACTGCTCTGTAGGAAGACTTGGGTTTGATCCCTGAGCGCTTTTGGACCTTGCTTTTGAATATTGTCGCTGCTGGGTGTTCCTGAGAACTTGATGCACAAGGCGCGTCTCCTGGGCAGCAGTTGCAACTAGGTCCTCTCTTCCCACCTGGGCCGGGAAGCCCCTGAGAGCAGGGTATGCCCAGGTGCTGACAAGAGCAGCAGACAACCTTGGGGCTGTGGACGCTTCTTCCGTGCGAACATCAGTGTGCAGTGCTGGGTTGTCGGGCTGCTGAGCTGCAGTGGAGGATACTTTAAGCACACTGAGTCATAGGAGTTGGTGCCTGATGTTACCATAGAAATCAGATCTGTTGCTAGGGGTGGGGAGTTGGTTGTCACTTGGCTCTGCTGCTCTGCATGGTTCCAACATGAGCTCATGGTGCAAGGGAGCCTAATTTCTTGCTCTGTGTCCCTCTGGGAACGGAGGAGGTCAAACAGCAACCCCAGCCCTCATGGGACAGCATACTAATTTTGCTTGGGTCTCTGGCTGGCTGAAGCTGTCAGGCCCTGTTTATCTGCTGAACTGTCTTGGTGATCCACTGCCCATATATGTCTTGCTCTTTCGTATTTTGGGGATCTCATTTCATTTGTTTTGCAATAGCTTCCAGCCGTTTGGGAGCCACAGGGAAGTGGAAACTGGTTATAAACTGGTGAGTAAGAGATAAGGGATGACAGGACAGAGTAACCCTTGGAGAGATCTCTGGGGTGGGGGACGAACACTGGATATCCATTTTGCTGCCCTCTCAAAATTTACCAAAGCTCAGCGTTACCCTGAGCGTGGACGTGACACCTTCTGATGCTCAGTCTCTCACAGTTTTAATTCTCTGTGCTTACGTCCATGTAACTGTTTCACGTTCTGTTGGATAGATGCACACATTCATGCTCTAGGGATGGAGGGGGCAAAATGTCAGTGCCCCCCCTCCGTTCTGCCCAAGGAAATAACTCCGTTATGAGTGTAATCGTTCCACACAAAGGCATTGTGCCGCCTCAGATCATCTGCAAAACAAGCACAAGCGTGCCCAAGGAGCAACACTGCAGAGTCTTGCTGATGCAAGGTGTCATTTCTGCTTGTTTTGTTATAGTTCCTCTTGGCTTGCTGCCTGTTGGCCGCTGAATTACTGTCCTTGTGGTGATGATAACTTTGGTCCGTGTGAGCCCTCTAGGTCTGCATGTTTTTCCTGTCCCGTGTTTCCTTGCTTATTTCCAGGACACTGACATTAGATGATGGCGACTGTTTCCTAGTGGACTTCCCTAAGAGTTGTTACTCTTAAGAGGTGCTGTATGCTGTGCTAGCTCAGTCCTGGGTTTGACGTATGCACTGCTCCAAGCGAGAGTGAGAAATATTTGCAAGCAACAGCAAACACAATGAATTCTCTGTTGTTTCCTGGACCCTCTTAATTCCTTGGTCTCCTCAGTATTTTGGCATGCTTGGTGAAAAGCGCTTATTACAGCAATATAGCTTTAATATAGGAGATGATTCCTGTGCTACTTACTATCATGTAGAAGAAAGGATTTGCTGGGTGATGCTGAAAGGAGATCTTGGTTATATGTGATTGTTTTCCCTGTCTTATTAGCTTAGCCTCTGAAATCTTGTTTTAAGAAGCTCTGAGTGAGCTTCTCCTCACTTCTGTGTTCAGATCCTAGCGTGCTGAAGCACCCACTTTGCTGCTGCTGAGAGCTCTGCCGTGATTCCTGGGAAAGCTGCCAGCGCTGGGCGGGCGCAGCTGTGGAGACAGCTGGGCATTGTGCCAGCTCTTCGGGGTTGGGGGGGAGTGGAAGGGAGAGCCTATAGCTGGTACAGTGAGTGTATCAGGCAGGGGCTGGTGTAGCCTGTCGCCTTCCTCTGCGTGTTGCTACTGCTTCCCTTTCAGGAGAGAAACTAATCTGGACACAGCTATGGTCAAGCAGAGACTCACTGAGGGTTGGTACAGGCTCCTGATGGAGCCTGTAGGAAAGAATCTGACATATGTTAGTGCTTCTGGCTTTGGAGGAAGGGGAGTTTATGCCTTTCTGCCTTGAGGGGAAGGGGAAGAATGACCTCTGAATAGCTAAAGGTATGGTGTGGGAGGCTGTTGGAGAAATCCATGGAGAGAAGCACTTCAGGGAGGGAGACAGTGTGATCTCAGTGTCTGACCTAGCAATCTCTGCAGTTTTCCTTCTAGACTCTGCAAAACAAACTGCAGTATTTGGGGACCATGGCTACAGACCCACTGTCAGAGCTTCAGGATGACCTGAATTTGGATGATACCAACCAATCCCTCAGCCAGCTCAAACTGGCCTCCATAGATGATAAGGACTGGCCAGCAGATGAAGTCCCTGTTTTTCCCAAATCAGGTGAGTATTCCTGCTTGCTTGGGGTCTGGGTTTAGTCCAAAAAGGAATCATTTGCCCTGCAACACCATGGCAGTATCAACATATACAGAGAGTCCCAGCTCCATGTGAAAGTTTGTTTATACATGAATGTTGCACCACACCCAAGTGAATTAGCCCTGCCATTGAACAGCACTAAAAAAAAATCAAGGCCAACTGATAATAATATACTCTTGTCAGTCCTGGGACTGGCTGCACTTTGATGCTGAGAGTACAGACATGCTGTAAGTCTTTGAGTGTCCTCTGTTATGGTCTCTTGCAAGATAGCTTGGTCTTCCTGGTTGGAAAGGTCTTGGACTTCCATGTGGGAGGTGGAACTGGAGATCTGAGCTGTTGTTCTGAAAGTCTGTAGGAATCTAACCAAGCAGTATTCTGTGGACTGTGTTGCCCAAAGAGATTCGTGGGAGTTAGCCCAAAGGCATCGGACAGCATCCATCAACGGAGAATGTTAAGGTCCTCCTGCTCTAAGCAGCCATGATGGTGCCCTTGGCACATAGAATTTCGGAGGCAGGTTTCCAGAGTGGCCAGATTCGTACACGAGTCCCCTCCGTGCTGTGGAGCTATTTGTTCCCATCCCTCTATCTCTGTTGCTCTGTTCTTTGCCAAGGTGCTGCAGATCCCTTCTGCTAATTGTTTATTCCTTGTGTTTTGTGCAGAGGACTCCAAAGGCTCCCCTGAGCCTGTCACTCACCTGCGGTGGGACGATCCCTATTACGATATCGCCAGGCACCATATTGTGGAAGTGGCAGGTAGGGCTCTCTTCTCTTTGTTTCCTCTAATAATGTTTTTGCAGCTGGAGTGAGGAAGAGCCTTGTTAATGGGATTGTGGAAGCATCTGCTGTATGCCAGGCCCAAGTGGCAAGGACAGCTGGCATTGTAAAGAGAAGGAGGACCAAACTTCTTGAATGTTTGCATTAAGTTTAATTTGCCATTGACCGTGATCTGACGTACATTCTTTCTTGAGTCTTACTGTCTTTATTATATTATTAGTGGATCTCAATTGCTTGAGCTGGAGTGTTTTAGATGTAGCTCTTGGCTATATCCGCGGTGGGAGATGTGGATTCTGCGTGATAATGCCACAGAAATTACCTAGCTATGCAGTACAGTTGCAAGCTCCTCAGCTGACTGAGTAATCCACAGTAGGCCTGACAGCTGACTATTGTATATGAATGGCCAGAGTTTACCATCCGGTCCCTATACAGCATTTTTTAGAAATCTGGAATGTGGGGAATACGCCCAGGGCCCCCCGCAAGGAAGGACCTGATCATTCAGTGAACTGTGAGTCACAAGCATTCTGATTTCCTCCTTGTGGTTGTCTTGTAAATATTATTTTAATTATAGTAACCCTGGGCAGGTTACTTCTGGGAGCTCCATAAGAAAGACTTTTGGGAGTAATTTTGTGTTGCTGTGGTAAGGCGAAGAGAGGTAATTCCAGTTTGTCCTGCGTTCCCTGTTACGAAAAGCCTGCTTAATCTGTTGTGACTTGATTCACACTTCCTCCTTGATTATCTGTAGCCACCTCTTCCCCTTCCTCCTGCCTTTTTGATGTACCCTGGTCCCTGCCCCACATGTGAAGTTCAAGAGAAGCAGAGTTGCCAGCTGGAGTCCTTCTGATTAGAGGTTGTTCTGCAGCAGGGTTTGACTGGAGAGGGAAGATTCTCAGGCAGTTACCTTGGTAAGAGTTGTCCTGACATTGTTCTTTCCTTGGCCGTCACCTAGAATAAGGTTTCTTTCTCCTGACCTCTCATGTTGCATTTTTTAGGAACACAAAATGATAATGGCAAATTCAAAACTTCATGCTTCTTTGTCTCTCTGTGCCTTGGTTGCTCAGAATGACAGGCGAGTTGTTCAGCCTTTCGGCTGCTGTGCCTTTTAGATTCTCTCCTTAGTGCTTTGATTCGCAAATGTATTAGTAACCTTCTCCATGGAGCTTTCAGGAACCCCAGTTCCAGGACTGGGCTTGATATGGCTCTGCACCTTGTTCTCCCTACTCCTGAAACTGGGATGGGGCAGATGTGTGGACTCCGCTATGTCAGAGATAATAACTAGGATATGTGGAATGCGAATGACAGAGGTAACCGGTGTTTCTGAACTCTGGGGGCTGATGAGTTAAATGATACTGCTGTTCACTTCAGACGAAGCCCAAGGGCTTGGCAGAGAGCTTAGATCAGAGCCATTGATAAGACTAGAATGTTACCTGAACCAAGGATACCCTTTGTGCGCTGCCTTCTGACGTAAGCACCAGTCTTTCTGTGGGACTTCTGTTCCAAAGTAACACAATGGTTTTTAGCAGGCTCTCTGCGCGGAGTGTCACTGAGATGTGTCTAGTGCTGTTGCTGGAAAGCAGCCATTTGACACAGATGTCTAGGGTAGTAAATGAAGAACTTTCTGCCTTCCTGAAAGGATTTCAGGGTGGTATGGTGGCTGACTAGAAGATATGCCTATGTTATGAAAGAAATTTCTTCCCCATCATGGTTTAAATTTGCATTTCTGGGAAGTTCTCCATCCCTTTGATGCACCTCTGTAGAGAGTAAAAGCCTTTCATAGAAGCATCTGCTGTTGGCTGGCCGTTTTTTGCCAATAGCTGGTTCATGTAAAACCTTGTGAGCGTCTCCCACCCAGAAGGTGGTGTGATGCCTTTCTAGGGCAAGGAAGACCTAATAGCACAGCTCCAGATAATGGATATGCTGACATAGTTGTGAGGTTCACTGGTGTCTTATCTCCTCGAAGGAGGATTTATGAAGTTGATCAAAGGAGTCTGAGTCACAAGCTGGCTCTGAGTTGAAGCTGTTTGTTCAGTTTTCTCGGACAGTAATTAATAATGTTAACTGTTCAGAGAATCAGACAGGGTAGTGTTTTCTGGGCTATTGTAGGAGGCAAACAATCTGTGAAAATCTGGAAAAATCCTATTAGAAGTGGCCTGGGGGATTAAAATGGGACTGTTTGGACGTGGCTCTGCTGACAAGTTGTGCTTTAGGTGCAAGGAAGGCTCGCCACTGGGAGCCTGAAACTAGTGGCCCCACCCTGGTTCTCTTGCAAGTGGTAGCAAATGGCGGCAGATCAAGCGTAGTTTTATCCGTTCTGCTGCGTTATGAGCTTTCACTTCTGAATCCTTCCCTGCCCAGCACTTCAGGGCAGAAAGCATATGGCTAATTCTGTTTGTGCCTTCCTTGAAATATATTCTGGGGTGTTGATGCTATTTTGAGACAAAAGCAGAAGGCTGGTTCCCGTCCTCGGGCTGAGCTCCACGAGCCCAGGGTTATCCTGTGCGGTCAGAATAGTAGTTGTGTCTTGAGGGATGGGTGCACAGAGTTAATAGACAATAGCTTGTTAAAAACCCAGTTTTGATTACAAAAAGCTAACACGCACATTTTCTAGCTAAACTTTAATTTGTGATTCAGCACAAGGCGTGTTGGATTTGAATATCCTAGCTATCTGGCCCACAGAGGAAGGAAATTGTTCAAAAACCCGTTGCAGAGTTTGCCAGAAAATAGGTTTCTATGTTTGGTTTTCCTCTTCAAAATAGTTCAGTGCTCTCATGGGGACTCTCCTTTGTGCTCTACACTCCTGTCTCATCTGGGGGCTCGATCTTCATGGAATGTGCTGTCCATGCTGCACTGCTTTTTGTCCACTGGTAAAGAGCAGCCGTGTCGTTGCTGTCCCTTGCGGTGGGGGAAGATGGGGCATAAGGCCTCCAGACCACAGTTCCAAGAAGTTACCATGCCACTGTTATGAATCAGAATATTTTAGTTGGGGATACCGTCTTTTGTTTCTGGGATTTGGTGTGTTTCCAAAAACTACACATAATCATCTTTGCCTAGACTTTCTGACTTGCCTTAAGGTGTCCATTTCTGGTATCTTATGTTGGCTCTGGAGAGGTCTCTGCGTGGCTGTGCTGTTCTAGACTCTATGCTTCTTGTGGGCATAGTAGCAGACAAATTTGTCTTCACACGTGACTAGAATTTGGAGCACAGGCAGCTCGATTTCACTATACACACCACTTCTGCAATGTGGATTTTTTAAACTTGCTCATATCATGTAGCATTTGGAGGAAACCCAGGCTTGTGGTTGAAGGCTATTGAGGAACTACCCCAAACTTCTGTTAGGTGTGAGAGTTTCTGTATCCTGCTGCTATTTTTCATATGGCAAAGGTGCTGCTTCTATCTCCTTGAGGACGGAGGCAAACTGCAGTGCAACAAAATCTGCATTGCAATGATATGGCAGATGGTTAGTAACAGTTTGAAGGAGGTATCTGGAGATGCCAGTTTCTGCTGGTAGTCTGGGGATATGTGGGAAGATCAGGGCTCTTGAACAGCTCCTTGGTAGTGTGTTGTTCCTTGCTTATTCTTCTGCCCAGTCAGAGATACTGATCTCATCCTTGTGATCAGTATGCAAACCTGTAGCTGGGAGGTACATCTGAATTCCCATTTTCCCCAATAAGTGACTTTCTTCCTTTTGGAAATTGTCAGGAGAGTGGCTATTGCCATTTACTTAAGCTATGTAGTCCCGGCCCAATGACGTCAAAGCATTGCTGAAGCTTAGAGCATGTTTTTGCTAGCTTGTTTGTGGGAAACTTGCTGCCTCTCCCCATTAACTGGTGGTCTGTAGGGCTGTGCCCTTGCAGAGAAGGCTCGATGCTGGTGTGTAGTAAGATAGTATAGTCTGGTACCAAACTTACTTTCAAAAGCATTGTGCTTGGCTATTGTTGGTGCCATCCCATACACCTGCTGGTGACAAACTTGTGACTAATGCTGATGATTTGCTGTTGCTGCTAATGACTGACATGGGAAAATAAAGCCAGTCTAGGAGCACCAGTAGCTGCTGTTTCAGCAAAGGAGCAAAGGCTGAAGTTGCAGACAAAGCTGCTGTTGAAAGTATGTTGCAGTGTGTTTTTGGTGCCTAATGGGCTCCCCAGAGGCCTCTTAACAATACTCCCCTCCAGTATGGTACATTATTTTTGGCTCCATTAACACAAGATGCCTGCATTGCTGCTGCATTTGGATGTCATTTCTGGCTTTGGTGATTTATTTATTTATTTATTTATTTTAGAGTATTGGTATGATACAGTTTGAGTTGCTTCTGGTGAACTGGGCTCTCCCAAAAGAAGCTGAGCTGGTGCCCCCTTTTTGGACATGTGTGATCAAGGGAACCGAGAGTTTCCAAAATAGCCCTGCTCTAAGCAGTCCCCTCTATTAGGTCTTAATAGAGACATGCAGGTTTGTTGAGTATATAGGTGTAGGAGTGAGGGAAAGGGGTTGGGGATGGCAATAAATGCCTTCACAGACTCCTCCCTGTCTGGAGGAAATTGGCAATTTATTGTTTTGTTAAGAGTCTATTGAAAATATTTTTAGAAAGCCATGCATGCATTAGAGTCTAACTTTCCTCATCTTCTGCTTATTCGTGACATTTAGCTTCTTGCGAAACAGTCTTTTGAATGGATTATTCATACAATATGATGCCATCCTCTGTACACTTCTAAGGTTGTTCAAAAGCCCCTGACATTCACAGTAAGGTGCACTTCACCCTATTAAAAGGGGTAGTACTGCAGCTGCTGTTTTGCACGTGCGGGAAGCATAACAGTAAGGGTCAGAAACTCGACTATGATTACACAGAATTGCTTGCAAGTTCAAGAGGGACTCGGGAATCATGAATTGCAGCTATCACCTCTGGTTGTTAGATGAGGTTGCTTTGGAGCACTGGGAAAAGATGAAGTAGAGAACTTGATCGCTGATAGCAACTGAATGCATCCCAGTGACTACCTGGGAAAGGGTGAGAAACTTGGCTTGCTGTAACTTTGTTTCTGTTCCTCCAGACCAGGGTGCACTTGATGGGGCCCGACCAGGTAGGTAGATTTTTTTTGTGGCACTAACATTTGATGCTGTAGATCATGATGTTCCTTTAGCATGACCGTGGCCTGTAGCTGGGTTATCTCAGGGGAGCCCAAACTTTGCTCAGCCTTGGGCTGCACTGGCAACTTTTCAGGAGTCCAAAGGCTGTACATAATTGCCATCTCTGAGGGCTGCACTTCTGCCTGAGGGGCAGCAGAATCATCAGAGCCAAATTTGGCCTATGGGCTTTACTTGGGGCACTTTGGGGCTCTTGGGTCTCAGTGTAAATTCTGTTCTTCCTCTGTCACGGTGGTGGCCTCTTTGGACCGGTTCGATTTGAACACAGATTTACCATGTTGTCCTGCGTGCTTTAGAAGTTCATCCTAGGATCGCTTCCTATTCCTTCATTTGATCTGCTGCTGTCACTTGCTGTGCAGCTGGCACTTAAATTGGATTCTCTAGCATGAAAGCAACTATTATCAATTTCTTCTCCGTTTAGCTGCAGAGGAGATGTTGCGCTTTGGCAACTTGTTCCTCATTCTAGCCTGGAGCTGTGCTAGACCGCGCAGTGCTTGCTGAGCATTTGTGAATGTTCTCTGGACTTCAATCCCAAGCGTTAAGAATTTGGCTGTCAGTGCTTTCACTCTTACCAGTGTAGATGAAACTCTCTCTTGATGTGCTGTTCTTTCTGCTGTTCCTGAACAGCAGGCCGAGACCTTTGCACAGTCTGTGGAAATGCTGGTCCCCACTACCTCATTTCTTGGGTTCTTCTCCCACCTCTGCCATACTCTCAGGTATCCGCCCATTTTGCATTCTTTAGTCTGACCCTCTGTTTTTTGTTTTTTTAAATCGGTTAAAACCTGTGATCACCAGTAAGACATTAAAGGATTTTGATATTTATCCTTGCTCCTGGCATCACTGATTTAGTGACAGCGTATAGACTCCTAATTTAACTTTGCCCTACCTCTTGCCAGGTCCTGCTCTGTTTCCCTGACCATCTGCAATGGGAAAAGCCACTGATACCCATCAGCCAAGCAGAGCTGTAGTCTCTTGAGAAGGCTTTGTAATTCTGTTTCGTTATTGGGAATATATAGGTTGAAGAAATCGTGTACTGGAATACTTCTACTTTCAGCTCATAGTTTGTATGACCTCCTCCTTTTTTTCTGAGAGGCTAAATCCACTTTGGAATTCAACAGAGAACTAAAATCTACCAACCACATGTAAACAGTGCTCAGCTGTGTCATAAGCTTGGCAAGAAGCTGAAATTACATTAGAGAAGATTTTAACCGACGGTGGCCCTGATAAACATCCTAAGCTTTGTGAAACTGGTATAGCAGCGTTCCAGAACTTTAGTGTGTCCTCTCCTTGTCCCTGGACTCTGTAACTTCGCTGTTTTAGCTGTAACATGAGCTTTTGGTGGCGGGTTTTATCTGTCTGCATTCTCTCAGTATTGAAATACCAAGATATCCCAATTAAATTTTTCATCCAAGTCGGATCCCTGGGTGATGATGCCTGGCAAAACCAGGAATGAAGAGAGTCCCCCAGACTGTAGTTTTGCTGCCAGCCAAGTCATACGGTAGTTTCAAGTCGTGGCACAAAGGGTGGGTGATATTTTTCAGGAGAAACACCTGGAAATACATAGCAGGATTGCAAGTTAAGCAAATATTTTCCCTGTAGGCTTTACAGATTCATTTAATGTAGACTGATCTTCTCAGAACAGTACTGCTACCTTGATATAAATTCCTGTTCTGATACATCTGCATTGCTGCTGAAACCTTCACCTCAGTTTTTAAACTTCAGTCTTTCCAGAAGTGTGGTCCTGCATGGAAGCTTGGAACCATGGGAATGCTGTTCCTTGCCTCGTGTCTCAGAAGAGTCCTGAAAATGTTACTCTTTGGATGAAAGGAAAAACTGGATTTGTGCTTTAAAGGCAGCATGGCACTATTCAGAAAAATGAGCATGTCCATCAGTGCTACAAATCAATATTGCTTTAGATAAGCAGCAGTCTTGGCTGAATAGGCTTTGCATATTGGCTGCCATCTTGCTCTTTCTTGTTAAACAACTTCTGGATTCCATCCTATAGGGAGGTAGTTGTATTTCAGTGTAGACTGAAACTATTTCCTTTACGTATGGACGTATTCACAAAGGTATGCATATTGTTGGGGTGCTTTGGGAATATGAGTGATATATAATTGCTTTTTTGCTGGCTTATTGTTAACTGTTGCTGAGCGTTCCTTTTCTGGGAGAGAGAGAAGGCAGCCTGAGAAGCTGAGTAATGCACATGGTCTATAGTACATGGTCTATAGTTCTGTTCAGTGGAAACTTTAATTGCTTGGAATTGCAAACAAGGGATGAAAATGACGATACATAAGATTAATATTGCAAACAGGAGAGCAAACAGTACAAGGGATGGAGCATCTGGGAGAGATCAAATGTGATAAGAATCTGTTCAGTTTGAGGCAGAGAGGCCACCTGGAGGCAGTTTGCTCAGACAGCCGAGAATGTGTGGAATGGGTTTTAGGTTCCTGTTTATTAAACTGGAGCAACTGATTGTTCAACTCTGATGCTCAGGATCTGGATTTTGTCTTGTCTGGAGGAACCAGACTGATCTAATATGTCAGGTGGAAACAGGATTGGCAGCTCTTTGTTTAAAATGTTTCTATGTTGACAGGCTGAACTCAGTGTGATGAAACTGGAGTGAAATCCGGAACTCAGTAATGGGCATGCTGGTTCCTGTGTAGTTGCAATACATAAATTCACTCTGGTTTGGAAAGTGAAATGAGCCGCTGCTGTTTCAGTGATCCAAGGGACTACAGATTATCTTTTAGCCTACTTGGCCCTAGAAATTGTCCAGAGGAAACATGCTGTCTTCCCTTCGAATGAATCATGTATTGTCTGTTCTTTCTTTATCAGCAACCACAGACCTTTTCAGCTATGTAAGGAATGAGATTCTGGACCTTGCATAGGCCCTTCCATAGGCTTTCATGTCATTGCAGAGGAAGGTGTTTGAGGTATTTGGTTCGTGTCTTCTCCCTTGTCAGGCTTGGAAATCAGTGCCCAGGAGCCTGAAGCTGAGTGTGTGGCAACCGCAATATCTCATGAACAAGATGCTGTGCTGCAGTTCTTCACAACCAAGGCCTGCCTTGATCAAGCCTGGGATCTGGATCTGACCCTCAGACCTTCTAGTTTGGCATGAAATGCGTCCTCTCAGTTAACTGAAGACAGCACCTGCTCTGACTTTAGCAAGGAGCTGTAATCTGCAGAGGTCTGCAATCTGTCTGGCCATTCTCTTTCATAGACCCCGATTACTCCAAAACTTGAGAGATTTTCAAATGCTGCCATCTTCTTGCTACTCTGTGAAGGCAGGATCCTCCTTTTTCCAGATGGAAATGTAAGAGTGATTAAAGACTACTTGGAAGAGCCGTGAGATGCCCTGTCCTCCTGCGCAGGGCTTTGTAGGCTGCACTGTTTTACAGACAGCTTATGTGCATTAGACCCAGCCCTAAAGTTCATAGCAAGCTACCGAGAAACTCTGGCTAGGCAGAGAGTGGGCTACCATGGGATATGCAATGTGATGTTGGTCTTGTGGCCTGGCTGTGACTGTATCTAGTTGTTCCGGATGATTCTTGCATCACTCTCTCATAGTCCTGCATTCTGGGTTATGTGTCCTCCCTAATTGCCCCTTACCTTTGCATGTATATGTCAGTGTGATGGCCTATGCCACCCCCTTCCTAGTCTATACCTAGTGCTGCCTCAGTCGGTGTCCCTGACTTTGTAGAGGTTCTGGCTTATGTGTATCGGTAAATTCTGTCTCGTGTTGTCTGGTGAATGACTTGGAAAGGGGATTTGCAAAAAAAAAAAAAAAAAAAAAAAGCAAGTGAATATACAAGTGAACAACTAGAGAGAGACTGTTCTTCTGGCTGGAATGGGGGTGAAAGGGAGGGTTGGGGGCCTCTTAGTGTCGTGGTTTGTGTATGTGAGTTCTCTGGTTGCCATTTGCAGCAGCAAGTGGTCATCTATCATGGACTGGTAATGTTCCTGTAAACCTCAGGTTTGCCGTTAGGTGGTTTCATTTGAGATCTCGGTTGCTACAAGGCAAGTCTAGCCAAGAGATAGTTGAGGGCCAGAGCCCATGCAAGGGTGGAAAAAGTGGCTGCATGCCGTGAATACTGTTAATGAACATGAGGCAAAGGATATCTTTTGAGAGGAATGATGTGTTGTAGGGCTGTCCTGCACAAGAAGAGATCCTGGCTGCTTTTCTGTGCTGCAGTCTTGATGGAGTGGTTGTGCTGAAGGGAAGGATGGAGGTTTTACTGAAGTATAACCTCAGTAGCCCCTTTGCCCTCTTTGTGCTCCTTCTATATGGCAAGAAAACTTAGCTCTCCAAGTAGGATGAGTAGCTAGAAAGATGGGAAAGCTTTAACTCTTCACAGTAAAGGAACAATTTCATCTCTACTGGTGCTAAAAAGCCAATCATCCTTATGGTAATGGATTTAGTGGTGTGTCTACTTGGGAGAGAACAAGACGTTCTCTTAAACGTCATATATCCAAAAGATCTGTGGCCTGGTTCTTACTGATCCGAATTTCTCAGTTCCCCTAGCTTGTCAGCTAAGCTTCTCTGTGCCCATTTGCTTGGGTTTTGTTCATGGGGCTGAGATCTCTGCTGGCAGAAGTCCACTGACGTCTGAGGACTTGCTTTGGGGAGAACTTGGCCCATTGTCTCTGAAGCCTCAAGAGGTGGCTGGGGCTGTCTCTCCTGAGATGAAGTTCCTTTTTGGGTTATTTGGATCCAGCGTGGTGGGGGTTGTTCTCTGCTGGGTTTTTAACATAGAATGGTTTGTTCTACTGCGCTTTGCAGCTCCTTGGGGTTTCCTCAGGTTGGAAAAATATCACTGTGGATGGAAAATCTAGGAAGCAGTGAACAGCTTACTCTGCAAAACCCTCTGGAGGATTCAGCAGCCCTGCTTGGTCCATCTCTAGAAAATGCTTGTGAAGATGCTTGCTTCTCTTCTCTGGGATGTGGCTGGGACTGCCTGTTTCTGTGAATTTCTTGGTTCCCAGGGTATGAAATGGCTTCGTTCTGTGTGCAGGACCGAGCTTCAGGTGAAGCAAGAAACAAACATACCATACTTAGTCTGGGGCTGTGTGCAGGAGGGGAGGAGTTGTTCTTGCGTTTGTGAGGGGCAGTTTTCCCTGTGCCCAATATATGTACACATCAGGAGCGGTTTTCCCAGGGGCAATGTTAAGGCCCCAAGCACTCTTCTGCTCTGTTTACTGGCCACTGTCACTGTGTGCCCCAAGGCAACTTGACTTCCAATCCTTCCTCTTCTTTCAGGGCTGGAGTGTGAATTCTGTTCTCCATTCAGACTGCCAGCTTGCCAGACCCTTGGTGTTCAGGTTTCTGCTTCCCCACTGGACCCATGGCAGCTCTGCTGAAAATCAGGTTTAGCTTTACTGGCAGCAGTGGCAATCCAGACTTCTGCTTGTTATGGAGGTTTCCCATGCTCCATTTCTGCCTTGCTGCAAAGACTACAATGTAGTCCTAGATCTCCCTGTAATCTCTGGCATTTCATCTGCAGGTGATGACAAGTACGGAAGGAAAGTCATTTTGTTCAGTGCCTGCCGGATGCCCCCAAGTCATCAACTTGATCATGTGAAACTGCTGGGGTGAGTAGTGACTGAGGAGGTGGCTATTTGACTTCTTAAACCTCACGTGATTCCCAGGTGCTGGATTCTTGAGGTCAGTTCTATATGCAGTGGCTGCTTCAGCTGGACACATCCTTGCAAGCTACTTACCTCCATTACTGGGAGTGCAAATCCTCTGTTACTGCACCCTAAAATAAGGCCCAAAGGGAGAAAGAGCCTCTCCATGGCCGAGCATGAAGTAAGTTCAGCAGTTGTATCTTTGCAGGTACCTGAAGTTCACGTTGGACCAGTATGTGGAGAGTGATTACACACTGGTGTATCTGCACCATGGCCTGACCAGTGAGAACAAGCCATCCCTGAGCTGGCTGAGGGATGCCTACAGGGAATTTGATCGCAAGTGAGTAAGTGGGGGCAGCAGGGAAAGATATAATATGTTTTTCTGTAGCCTAACATAGAGAATCTTCTCCCTGGCCCCCTATGTAGCTTGGGGATCGTAATCTACTATTGCTTATATCTGCTGTTTGTGAAGGTGAGTTGTTTAATGCAGGCTGAATCATGGGATGCACAGCTCCTTCTGTAGTTACACCCTTCAGGCAACAGGCAAGCAGGAAGACCAGGAACCAGTGCAGATGTGTCAGCCCCATGGTATAATTGTTGCTTCCTGGTGAGGCTGCTCACTGCTTCTTGGTGGATCTAGGATCAATGGAGAGCATGCCCTCAGGCTGCTGGGCTGCCTGAGAGAGCTAGGAAGCATGGAAGAGTGGAGGTCAGGCCGTGGTGAGGCAGAGTGCAAAAGGAATGGAGTACCCATGGGTGCCTTAATCTTGTGGAAAGGTTGATTCCTTTGCTTAAAGCACAGCTCATCCTCACTTAGCCTCTGTTGGCAGGTACAAGAAGAACATCAAAGCGTTATATATTGTACACCCAACTATGTTCATCAAGACTCTGCTGATTCTCTTCAAGCCCCTGATCAGGTAGGAAGCAATGTAGGAAGCTCACCTGCATCATCACACGGCGGGGGGATAATGGGACATTTTCAGTGGGATGCAAGATGAGCACAGGCTGCTGAGCGTGCCCTGGTTTCTCTCAGCCCGTGTTGTCTCCTTGTGTTTCTGAGCTCAGAAATATTCAGACAAAAGAACAGCTGCTTTGGGAGCCTACTGAGTTTGCAGTTCTGTACTGCTCCCTTGCTATCCAGCCAAGCAGAAGCAATGTGTTGCAGGCTCTGCTGCTAATCAAAAAGGAAATGAGAGCATCTGTCCAGATTACATTTAATCCCTTGTGTTCATGCTGGACACGGAACTTTGTAAAATAATTGGAAAGGGAAGTTTTCTCCAGCCTACTGCTGAGTTTAGGAAGGGGAAGCCCAGGGCTTCAGGGAGCCTGCCTCTGCTGTGGCTTCAAACATGACTTGTAAAGGCTTGGCATTTCCTAGTAAAATATATGACGTTGGAGAGCTATGTGGGAAACATCTCTACTGCTTGGCCATACCTGCCCCGTTGCCCCACTGATGTCTCTTGCCTGTTCTCCTTGCCTTTGGGAAGTCCATTCTTCTGATGCTGGATTTCCTGATGCCTCACACATCTACTTGTCTCTGTTTTTCAGCTTTAAGTTTGGGCGAAAGATTTTTTATGTGAACTTCCTTAGTGAGCTGGAGGAGTATGTGAAGCTGGAGCAGTTGGGGATCCCAAATCAAGTGCTAAAGTGAGTGCTGCAAGTCTCCCATTTGTTTAGGGCTCCACAATATGGGGCCTTTCTGCAGGAATGGCAAGAGGGGGAAGCAAGTGAAGGGGATGGAAGGGCTTGTTCCAGCCAAGCAGTGGTTATCCAGGGAGTGGTGCCAAGTTGCTGTAGGGACCTTTGTTTCTGTCTGCTTCCCTTCCTGTGTGTTTTTGGCCCCTGTACCCAGCTCTGTCATAGAGTTAAAAATGCTTCTCTGGTGGAGCGCCCATCCTACCTCTGCCACACACCACTTGGGGGCATTCTGCAAGCTACTGACCTTAACACTGACCTGGAGTTCTTGGTGCATATCTGCTGTGTCTGGGCATCTGCTTTAGTCACTTGGCACACTTCAGCTTGCCTTTAGGGCTTCCCAAAGTCACCAAAATCTTGACCCTACTAGACTGATTCCCTGTCACTCATTCACTCATGCATGCAGCTGCCTCATCATGAACAGTGCTGCCCTGGCCTCCTGCTCATGCTCTCTGTGATCCCCAACTATTCCCCCAGTCCAACTTCTGACTCCAGACGGATCTTCCTTTCTGTCTGCTTTTTGCTGACAATCAAATGTTTGTTCTCGTTGCCCTTGTGCTCCCAATCTGCCTGTCCTGTTTTAGTGCGGGTGGAATGAACTATGCTAGGCTGTAGCTTCCTAAGAGCTGTTACCAGCGGGTCAGCAGTGGGTCATGTGCAGAGCTGGGTTGGTGTTTTTTCTGAAAGATGGAATGGCTCTTTACTAGTCTATGTTTTGCCACAGATATGATGAATATCTGAGATCCCTGCAGAAACCTTCACAAGTGCCCCAAAAGCCAATACCCCCACGCCCACCGCTGCCAAACCAGCAGTTTGGAGTTTCGCTCCAGCAGTGAGTATTTATGCTTGTGTTGCTTTTGCCCTGGCCTGGCTGATATGAGGTCACTGTATTTATAACTGAACAGCTGCAGAAATGGCTGTAAAATTTCTTGTAGTTTAGACCTCTTACAAAGTTTGAGTCGTCATCCTTTTGAGAAATTGTTCTCATGTCCAGATCCTGGCTGACCCAGTTCAGTTCCACCCTCTTGATTCCCTGGCTAGATCCCACTGTAAATGAGGATGGGATTGTTTCTGCATCCAAGGGTCAGTAAGGGAGAAGTAAAATAGGGGCTGTGAGGGCAGCTTTTTGCCACTAGAAACTTTCTTTAAGCAGAGGAAGTCTGAGAGAAGGTGATTGAAGTTGCTTTAGATTCTCTTTTTTTTTTCCCATAGTGTAAATACTATTTTAAAAACACTTCCGTTCACCCTTATACTGATTCCCACCCCTCGTTCCTGCACAGTCACACAGGCGAACAGAGATACTGAGAAGGGATAGTGGTACTGGCTAAAAGCTGAAGGTATTTTTAACTTTGAATGTGATTTGGTAGCTGGCAAACGAGGAGGAGCCGGTACCCTGTGGCCAGACAGACTCTCTGAAGCAATCTGAGAACACGTTCCCCAGCTTCAACAGAACTTTTCCAAATTTAACCCAGGGGGTGCTATATGCCTGAGCTTGTTAATGGCCTGAGGGAGTGAATGGCTCCATGCTTTGAAGTGGTATGGACTGTCAAACGTGAGGGTGCCAGCTAACACGTTGGCATCGCTAGACCTTTCCTGCCAGCCGTTGGGTTTGGTGTGTCATCCATTACAGTGGGTAGGTGCAGGCATGGGGTGGGCAAGTTTATTCTGTGCATCTTTCTCGCACGTGTCGGCTGCTTTCTGTCCTTTCCTACAGTGGGGGAGGACGAAGGAGGTTGAGCCCTCTTCAGCCGGTTTATTAACAGCCTTGTCTTCTGGGAGCCCCTTTGCCCTGGCATGCCATGATTTTTAGAGAAGGCAGGGAAATGTTCCTGTAATGTAGTAACAAGCCCATACTTGCTCCAGTGAATGACTTAGCATAGTGGGTGAGGAGGAGAGAAGGCTGGACTAATGGGTGAACTGGAGACTGGGGTAGCAAGATCCTCTGTGCCAGTCAAAGGTCCTGCTTGCGTGGGCAAGTTTGAGTGTCTGGGGCTGCATGCAGGGCAGAGATGACCAGCCATTTTTAACCTTTCATCTCTTCCCACAGTCTAAGGGAGAAGAGCCCTGATCAGTCGTCTGTTCCTCTGGTGGTCAGGGAGACCATTGCCCATTTGCAGGAGCATGGTGAGTGATGGGGGGAAGCTGCAGCCCCTCTTAGTTCCACGTTGGTGGCCTCTCCTCCATCCAGTTCCCATCCAGAGTGTGATGAGACACAGGAGAACAGCAGCACAGAATAAGGTATAAAGACCTGAGCTAGGTGAATTAGCCTTCAAGAGAGGTTCTGCAGTTTCATGGCCTTGCAGACCTCTTTCTTCTGGCTCTCCACACTCCCACTTATATGAGAGCAGCAAATTCTCCTTTTATTCTGTACCTGCTGCTAGAGGTAGGCAGGAAGAATTGCAGTACCTGGGACTTGTTGGGGACTTGTTGGCATCTGTCTGAACAATCCACAACATGGATTTACGGCCCTTAAGACTGGTGTTCCCAGAAACTCCCATGTGACTGATATTTCTTTTTCTTTCTGCTCTCACTTCACAGCTCTTGCAACAGAGGGGATTTTCCGGAGATCAGCAAATACACAGGTTGTCAGGGAGGTCCAGCAAAAATACAACACGGGTAAGTGCCCCAGCTCAGCAGAGCCCCTCTTGTTCCCTAACTCCTGCTGTCCAAATAGAACTGTACTGGAGCTAATCTGTCATGGCTCCTCTCCTTCTCTGGTAGGGCCCTAGGTGAGGCCTTACTCTAGTATCAGGACATGACCCGAGCTGCAAGGAAGAAGTGTCAGATACTGTGTAATGCTTCTGCTGTGTGGAAAACCTATTCTTTTGCACTCGTGTTTCCCTTACTGTTTTTTTCCTTCCTGAAAATTTCCCCATTTCCCAGGGTGGACTACCTCATCTTAGTGTGGTAGGAGGACAGAAGGAGAATGCTGGAAGGTGAGAAGATGACCAGGAAGAAACCATTTGCTTGGTTTGATGACTTCTAGAGGTGTACCGCTAGATTCAGGGGTGCTTTGCTTTTGGAGCAGGTTTTTCCGATCTGCCTGGAAGATGTGGTGCTTCAGTCCCTTCTCCATGTTCTTTTTTAAGATGCTTCTTCCCCAGTTCTGGGCTCTGAGTCTCATGTCCCATTCTTTGTCTGGAGCAAGTCCTGCTTTGGCAGTGAGTACTGACTCTCTGCTCTACTTTCCCAGGTGTGCCAGTAGATTTCCAGCAGTATGAAGATGTCCACCTCCCTGCTGTGATCCTCAAGACCTTCTTGAGGGAGCTACCTGAGCCCCTCCTCACTTTTGACCTCTACAGCCATGTTGTGAGCTTCCAGAGTGAGTTGTCCCCTGAATATTGTGTGCGCTGTCCCCTGAATATTGCACTGGGCAAGGGCAAAGACCCCTTCCAAACCACCCTTGACTGGGGAAGGGGCAGCCTTGCATGGGATACCCTGTGACTGCAAACTGAGCTTTCATCAGGGTGGGTGCTGAGGTATTCCCTTTTTGCATGGAGAAGTGAGGCTTTCTCATGGACCTGCTTGCCCTACGTTCCTCCCTTTATAGGTGTGGAGGAGGAGAAACGTGTGGATGTTGTTCGCAAAACACTCCAGACTCTGCCAGAAGAAAACTACCAAGTGCTTCGTTTATTGACAGCCTTTCTGGTGCAGGTGAGCTGCTCCAAAGAGGGCGTTCAGAGGTCTATTCCTTGAACCAGCTTTTTGACTGCCCGCTCCCTCCTTCCCTTTGAGAGAAAATGAGAGTCAGGCCGGGAAATTTCTTCACTGTATGCTCCTCTTGTACAGAGATTGGAAATGATCATGATGAACTAGCCTAAAGTAGTCCCTTCTCATAAGGCTGAGAGGTACAGGCAGGCGTTAAGTCAGTGTGGTCTGTACTGAGGAGGCTGAAAGCTTCCTGGGGGGCAGGTACAACTGCAAGGTGTCCGAGTAGAAGACTAGAAAAGGGATCTCAGAACCAATCTAGAGGACTTTTTGTTGCTAGGGACGCCACTGCAAGGCTACACTAGCAAGAAGGAAGATGATTTTGGTTAGAGTGGTGATCAGGACCAAAGAGATATCAGCTGAGAGCACTCTTGGTCCTGGTATTATGATGTGTCCTAGAGACTGAATCGTAATGGGATGTGGAAAATGGCAAGATGTTGCTCCCTACCTCCTGAGTGCTGGAGGTCATGTGTGTTTCCCCCAGCCGTCTTCTGGCAGTGGGCCTTCAGCTTCTGTCTGCCATCCTCCTCCCATTTGCCCTTGGGGGTCTGTTAACTCTGGCTTTGGGGAGGGTAGAGGGCAGCTGCTGTGCTGTTCTGTAGGATTCACAGTGGTCTTTTTCCTTCTCACACAGTTCTCTGCTCACAGTGACCAAAACAAGATGACAAACACCAACCTGGCAGTTGTTTTTGGCCCAAATCTGCTGTGGGCCAAAGATGTAGCCATCACCCTCAAAGCCATCAACCCCATCAATACCTTTACGAAGTTCCTGCTGGACCACCAGAAGGAGCTCTTTGAGGATGTGGAGGCCTGAGCCCAGGCCAGTCCACGCTAGCACACTGTGCCCACCTTCCCACCTTCTTTCCCACCTTGTCTTGGAGCTGTGACCAAGCTGTCTCCAGTGCAAAGGGACCATTGATTCCCCGGGTGATGAGCAGTGAGGGCTGTGGAGATGGTGGAGTAAGTGTGTAAGTAAGCGAGCAGGAGACCTGCTGCTCCAGGTGGGGAGGGGAGCTGGTCTCCCGGCTGCTGGGAGTGAAGTCCTAGCCCACCTGCCAGTCTGTGCAGCTCCTCCAGGGCTCATCACCAATCTGCTCCCATGTAAGCTGATCTTCCTTCCTTTCCTCCTTCCCTCACATGTGGTTTTTCTGCCCTCCTGGTCCCTTCCTCAGCAAAGACCTAATTTGTTTAAACTCCTTGAAGTCCTAGCTCATCCCCCTTGCCTCAGCTGGGCTATCAGGGCCACGGCAGGCTTACTGTTGTGGGGTTTTTTTGTTTTTTTGTTTTTTTGGCAGAGATGTTCTTGCTGAGTTCCATCTTCTCAGCCCTGAACATGCATCCTGCCTTTCCCCAACGGCGCCTGAAGCAGCGAAGGGAGCAGGTAGCTCTTATACTTTGGGTACCAGCATGTTGTGCACTTGGCAAACACCACTCTAGAGCCTGTGTTTTTGGCAGGCAAGGTGAAGGACAGGCCCAGGGTTGCATGGGCCTGCCAGACTCTGACACAGGGGAGCTGAGTTTAGCCCAGCACTCTTTGGGGTTAGCTGCTCCAGATATTCTTCAGCTTTCCTGGGATATGGTGGGTGAGGTGCCTCCTACAGTTACCCAGCTCAGGTGTTAATGTCCCTCCAGCAGCATTTCCAGCCTTGTTGGGAAGGTTCAGGCTCAACCTGGCTGTGTGGGGGGCCTGGTTGAGGCCATTCACAGAGAGTGAATCTGAATTGCAGGGGGCAAGTGCCCTAGTGACACTGAACTGCTGAATACCTTGATCACTGCCTTTCCCTGTGGCAACAACACAAGGCCTCTTCGACCCCTTCAGGCACATATATCTGTACTAGTTGGCACAGACTGCCTTGGCCATCCTTTTTCTCTTCAGTTTGAGCTGAACTTTCTCCGGCAGAACATAGCGGAGAGCATGGCCTTGAGGGAAGGTCTGAGGACTGAGGCTAACCCTTACTTTGGAGTGCACTAGACCTGGCTTTCAAGTCTCTGCCCAGGTGCTGAGCGCTCATGTGCCAAAGCTGTGAGGGAACAGCTTCTCCATGCTGAGGACCTTTGGCCCATCTATTCCTCGGTTCATACTTCCCTTCCATCCTATTGTGGAAGCCTGATCTGATGCATCCTCTATACTCTGGGCATGGCTGGAGAAATCTGGTTGCCTGCAAGGCAGGCTCAGAGCAGGGTGGGCCCAGTGTCTTCCCAAAGTAGCTGCAATACAGTTAGTACTTTCACTGTTGGTTTTGGATTGCAGCATTCCCCTTACTTGAGCTAAAAGAAATCCCTATCCTTAGCCTGGACCTGAGAGAGTGTTAGTGAGGAAGCTTCTAGCCTTACTTTGCCAATGTGTTTTATCTTGTGCCCTGCATGCCTGGGCCAAGCTTGCTCCCTGCTGCATCTGCCGCAGGGACAAATGTATTGGACCAAGCAGAGCTCATTTTTTAAAGTCATTGGATCCTAAATGGCGTTTACTTTTTCGTAGTATTTTAGCCTACCTTTAAACACTGCTCAAAGGTTGGTGCCCTGGTTGTAATCAAATTAAGTTGACACGCCGATGATGAATATCAACAACAGGAATTGTGGAGATTGCTATTTCTGCTAAGCTCCATAATGGGGATGAGTGCGAACCTAGGCAGCTAGCTCCGTGGGGCATCTGTGGGGGCACTGCAGGTCCAGCCAGCTGGTTTGGGGAAAGTGTGAGGCAGCGCAGGTCCGTCCAGCTGGGATGGGGAAGGCGCACCAGTGTGTGGGTGGGAACAGTGAGCCAGAAGCTGAACGCTCCTAAGACTGGAGCAAGGGATGTTCCAGGACAGGGCTGGGTCTGATCCCTGCTAGATGCTGGGAGACTCTGTCTTATGGAGGCTACCAGGCTACTTAGTCTCCCTCCCCTAAGAGGAGGAGTCTTCCCTGTCTGGGTAGGATGTGAGTGGTTTCAGCCTGGACAGTTCACAGCAGTAGGCAAATAACGTTTGGAGGCAGAGATACTCGGCTCTCTACTGGAGTGAGTTACGAGGGCTGATTTGCTGTGGAGAAGTACTCTGCTGGGATGGACAGTGGAGGGAGAGGTGTGCTTGGCCCAATGTTTTCTTTAAGAGGCAAGGCTTACTTGACAGCCTGGGAGGAGCAAAGAGGCTGAAAGAGTCCAGGAGCACCGCTTGCTTCCTTTCCCTGTGAGCACCCTGCTCTGTGTAGGCTTCAGCATGGGGTGAGGCTGGGTGCTATGACTATATCTTTAGCTGACTCTGGCCTTGCTTGTATCTCCCTAGAGGAAAGGCAAACCCAGCTAACTTCGCTAGGGACAAACAAGCTCAAGGCCAGGAGCTTGGAATGGGAAGTGCCTGTGCGCTGGGGCTGCTGCCCTATGCGCAGTCCCAGCTCTTTGGGGAGGGTAGCAAGTACTGTTCCCTGCCCCATAGTGAGAGGAGCAGGGCTGGGATAGCTTAGCCCCTCTCCAGGGAGGGAGCAGGGATTGCTGCAAGTGTCTGTGTTATGTCTTTTTTTTTTTTTTTTTAATTAATTCTTGAAGTAATGTTTCTTTTTTTTAGCAAAATGAAGCCTGGTGCATCCCCTGCAGGCAGGGATAAAGCCTGCTCCAGGTCAGTGCCTGCAGGGAGCAGATTTGGAGGATGTTCAGGAAGCTCCTACTGCTCGTGGTGGGAAAGTGGTTGTAAATCCTGGAAAGGACCCAGTGTAAATATCCTCTTTCCTCTGCTGCTCCTCATGCTGGAGCTGCTAGGGGCCCTGGAGCAGGCAATGTAACCGGGGCTGCTTTTGCTTCTGCAGTCTGCTCTCCTAAATGCCTTTTATTGAAATATCCCTCCCATGACTTGGGCAGGGAACTGGTCTGGGCCTGCCTGTGGCCTCTGCTGGGTGGGTGGCCACAGGAGCTTGCATCTGCCAAGCCCATGGGATTAAATTCCCTCCTCACCTGGTCAGCCTCCTCATGCAGAGCACCACAGGCAGGAGCTAGGCCCAGGGGCCTGCCTGGACTGTTTTTTCTCCTCTGCGTGCAGGTAGGGGACAGTATCTGATTAGGGAGCTGGTCTTTGTCATTTTTCTCCTTGTCGTAGGGCTGCCCAGGGCTCCCTTTCATAGCTTATTTTTCAGATTAGCTATTAGCCACTTTTTCCTGCGGGGTTAGAGAACTCATTCCACTTCCAACCTCTGCATTTTAGCACCTAGCCCATTCCCCTCTGCTGAGCCTAGTGCTATCTTAATGGCCCCAATGACTCCCTGCTCCCTGGCCCAAGCTATATACTGACATTAGAGCCAATGGGTGATGCAGATGGTGGTGGGGCCACCTGGATGCCTTGTGGTAGTGTCTGCTCGTTTGATAGAGGGCTGAGGGCTGGTTGGGCCCTTGTTTCTTCTTTTGTGTGTGGAGCCCCTGTGCAAAACTTCTGGCTTTGCTTTCGTTGCTAGTGTTCCCTGCCTTCTTTTCTATTGTTCCTCAGGTGCTGGGCTGGGGTTTTCACAGTGGTATCAGTTCACATTCATGTTTATTTCCTTCTAATCTGCACCAATCTTATATTTCACAGTTTGCACTTTTTGTATTTCAATAAAAGTCAAAACCTAATCCTAGATCCAGGTGTATCTGTCAAGTGGCAGCATCTGTGGCACACCTACAAGCAACAGGAACAAGGGTGGCTATGCTGCCAACCACAGCCACGCGGAGAGAGGAAAGTGAGTGTGAAATACCTCATACATGAGTAACTCTGGGAAGAATTACTAGTTTGCAGGAGACTCAGAGTAAGGCTGGAAACAAATTTAGAAGAATGAAGTACTGCAAGTTTGGCTCTTTGCTGTACTGCAGTAGGCTGAACAAGGCTGGGCTGCGGTTGCTCCTTCCACGTTACTGTCTCCCCATAGTGACAAGTGGATGAGTACTCTGCTGAGAATCACCACTTCCTAGAGGAGCAGCCAGGCAGCTGCGGGGTTTATCGTTGTGTCCAGAGCTTTGCTGCCTGCCCCAGCCTTGGATCCTTCAGAGAGAAGGTGGTTGGGCTGTGCGGCGGTACAGACCCCTTCTCCCCATTGGCAAGGCAGATCGATCACCATTTTCCTGATCAGGGCAGCTCTATGGGCTGCTCTCGCTGGTAGAGGATGATTGAAAATGGCTGTAGGAGACACTGCAGTCTTTAAATGCATTGTACCTTAGAGGTGATGGCTGCTTTCTGCAGCTACCTGTTTGGGAACCTAACCTTTTTGCATGCTCATTTCTGCCCTCCCAGCATGACCACTGCTCTGCTGCTGCACCTCCTGATCCCACCTTGCAGTGGCTTAGGAGAATAAGACTGCTTCTGAACGTGGCTTCAGAGCCAGGATGTGGGAATTAATGTTGTTTATCATGCAGCTGCAGGAGGAGAGATTGAGCCGCCCTTGCTTTGGGGCACTAGAAACAATGCTGAGCTGCTTTATAAAAAGCACAGGAGAATGGCTGTGGATTTAGCACTACCTCCCACTCTTGGAGAAAGTTGTGTGGCTTTCCCTTTTAACCCCACACTGAGGTGGCGGTTCTCTTCCACATCTTTACTTATTACACCTTGTAAAGCATTTGTCACTGGGATCCTGTAGCTGTGCCAAATGTAATGCACCGGTGCAAGTGTTCGTTATAGATCCCATTAAGAAAGGCACTCAGACCCCGTAAAGTATTGATTAGAACAACGTTTATTGTAGCTGACACAAGAGGTAGGAAGGGGATAGCGTAGATGATCTTATGTCTCTCTAGATAGTGGGAAACCCAAGTTGTGTAGCATCGGATGGATCTTTAGTCACGTAGCATCGGATGGATCTTTAGTCAGTGTGTGACACACTGCACAGATCCCATCCACGGTGAGGTTCACCGGCATTGTGGGTTTTCCAAGCTCTTGTAGGATGTTCTTAGACGTAAACAGCTCTGTTCGTCATTTCTACTGTCGAGCAAAAGGACGTTCACATGAAAACGTGCTGCTTCACTTTTAGACAGAGGCAAGAACGTGTCGATGGCATCATCGCCAGGCACCAAGCGGGAGCTGCTTGCAGAGTCCTCTGTTCTAATTAGCCAGCCAAGGTTATCCTGCGGCCAAGTGATATGTGCAGCGCAGCACAGCACAGGCCTGCGCCTCCTCAGGTCAGCTGCTCCGTGGATCTCTAACTCCTTGGTGCACAATGGTCTTCCGGCTGGTCCCGCTACGCTCCACCCCGTGATGCACTCGCACAGTTGCCCTTTCCTGAAGATTTTGTAGTTTGCAGGTTACATCGGTAAGCTTTCTGGTTGCTGGAAAGCCTCTTATCTATGACACAATTGCTGCAATTAATAATACAAGGGTAGCAGCAAGTGGAACTAACGTTGGGCACGAGAAGGGGTGTAGAATAGCAGTAGTATTGGAGCTAAAACTGCCGCTGATGTCGCACCGTTGGGCAGCAGCGGCGCCAGCTACTTGCCTTGTGGGCTGGCTGGATGATGTGTTGATTCTGATGTAAGGCTTGTATTGCTACGAGGTCAGGCTGCTTTTCAGTTGTTAATTGGTGCGTG